GCCTGCCGCAGCGCCAGCGCCCGCCGCCGGTTCCGCTCCATCCGCGCCAGCGCCGCCGTCGAGATAGACGGTCGTTCGATCTCCGCGCAAGCCGCCGCGACTTCATCCGGGCCGGGCGCCGCGCCCGCCATGGCGGCGACGGAGCGGAGGAGCCGCGCCGGTCCCCCCCGCTCCAGAGCGCGGCTCGCCCTTCCCTCGCCGAGCCGCCGCCGCACTGCGCCTGCGCAGAGGAGGAGGCGGGGGAGGGAACGAAAGGGGCGAGGCCCGCACGCATGCGCGCTGCCCTCGCCCCGCCTCCCCGCACAGCCGCCGCGCTGGGGGCGCCGGGAGGAGCGGGGGGGGGGGGGGGGGGGGGGGGGGGGGAAGGGAAAAAAAAAAAAAAAAGGAAAAGGGAAAAAAAAAAGAAAAAAAAAAAAAAAAGGCCGCGAAGCGCAGCGCTGCCGGCGGTGACCCCTTTGTCCTCAGCCCGCCCGGCAGCACGGAGCCGCGCCTCCCGCCCCGAACGCAGCCACCGCTTCTCCCCGCGTGTGTTTTAAACGAACAGGCACCAAAAAAAAAGAAACCAAACCAACAAAGCAACAACCAACCACCGCGTTTTTCCTCAATAAAAAGCGGCACGTCGTCCTTCGGAGAAATAAGAAATAAAATTAAGACGTTCCCCAACGACGGCGCAGCACCGCTACTTTCCGTCCCGTTGCCCCGCACGCCTTTTGTCGCGGAGCCGCTCCCGCCGTCCTTGAGCACAACACGAGGACGCGGTCCGTCCGTCAGTCCGTCCGTCCGCCCGTCCGTCCGCCCCGCCCGGCCGCCATTACCTGCCCGGCGCGGTCCGACACGTGCGTTCCGTTCCGTCCCGCATCCGGGATGCGGGACGCTGCCGTCCGATCGGCGCCTCCGCGGACATTTTGTATCGGGACCTTCCCCTGTAAAAAAAACGAATCGCCGAGTCATCGCCGGCCGCCTGCGGCACGCTGGCTTGTCTGCAGGAAGCCGGAAAGTACCGCAATGGGCATGTCTGGGTGCCTCCCAACCGGGACTCAATAAGCTGAGCGCGTGTAAAAATCGCGGCGCTGCCCCGCAGGAAATGGCACCGCCGTCGGTTGGGGCTGCGCTGCCCTCGTTAGCAGGTATTTCTGCAGGTAATCGGTTCGGCTGACGGCCGGAAAGCGCCGTGCTGGCTCAGAGATTCGGAAATGGGAGTTCTTTGTTTGGGAAAAACAATCGCTTGTTTTGAGAACAATCGACCGCATGTTTGATAAACGGTTCTGTCCCGTCTGCGGGATTCTTATCTCGTTCGTGCCTCCCGCGTTCCATCTGAGAGCCGGGAGAAGTGAACTTTGGAGCGCTGCTCTTTGTGTCATCCCCCGAGCTGAAGCTGCGTTTGGTACCATTAAAGGGTTTTGAGCATAGGAGGATATTGCTGTTATGCAACCAAATCGGCATTAGGATTAGAAGAATCTATAAACAAAAGCAAATTCAGAGGCGAGGCACTTAAACAAAATAGGCCGTGGTCCACAGCGAGCCGTGCAGAGCAGCCGGGGCTTGAGCAAGGGAATGGAGCAACGCTCCCTGGGTTTTCCTTTTCCTCAGGATCACCCTGACCAAGCAGTCTGGGCAGAACATCTTTCCCAGCCGTCTTTCCTACCAGAATGTGTATCAAGTGCAGTCCTCCTGGTTTTTATGATCAAAAGAAAGAGGTGTGCACGACACTGCTTGTGCTCGTATCGTTAAATATGCATGCCTTAATGGCTGCGGGTGAGTTAATAATCATACAGTCATGGAAACCTTTAAGTTGGAAGAGACCTCTGAAGGGCATCTCACTTAGTCCAGCTCCCCTGCACTGAACAGGGGCACCCACAGCTCCATCAGTGCCCAGAGCCACATCCCCTGACCTTGGCTGTCTGCAAGGGGACGCAGCATCATCCACCACCTCTCTGGACAACCTGTGCCGGTGCTTCACCGCCCTTATTGTAAAAACTCCTTCCTTACATCCAGTGTAAATCTCCCCTCTTTCAGTTTGGAGCCATTTCCCCCTGTCCTGTTGCTGCTACAGTCTGTCCCCTTCCTTCTTACAGCCGCCCTATAGATACTGAGCTACTTGCTCTCAGGGCTCCTGGAGAATTCTCTTCTCCAGGCTGCACAGCCCCAGCTCCTTCAGCCTCTCTCAGCAGAGGAGGCATCCGCAGAACCATGGAATATCCCAAGATGGAAGGGATCCACAAAGATCATTGTTTCCAACTCCTAGTGCCACGCAGAACCACCCAAGAAATCAAACCGTACCACCATCAGGTTGAGCTGATACACTTAGGTAGCTCTTCAGGTGTGGTGTGCTGGGCAGCTCGTGGCTGCGGTCACTTGGCTGCTGGTAGCCAGTCGTGGATGTCCTTGATCAGCAAGGGAAGGCCTGCATTAACTCGTGGCCATAGAATGGAGCATCAGCGAGCAGCCGAATGTGGGGAAGCAGCTTCACAAACGGCACATGACAACTCAGCATTTTCTTGGAGGAGAGAAAGGGTGAGCAGTAAGACAGCAGTGCCTGCTGGCAACACAACCGTAGTGGAGTTGGCATTGCAAGCCTTGTCTGCTGGCAGTACAACCCTTGTCAAGGACGAGGGTCATCTGTGAAGAACTGTGGGTGTCCGGGCAGTAAAAAAAAGGAGTAAATTCGGGGTAGACAGATGATGCACTTGCAGAAAACTAGTCCTAACTGTACATAAGTGGTAGTATCTGAAATGGCTGCTGCCTCTCAGGGGTGAGGATTTTGGTTCGTACAGACTGCCATCTTCATACTTGGAAAAACGAATTGCACAGAAGAACAAACCAGGAAGTGCAGCGATGCTCTCGCTGTGAGCACTGCGTCCAGTTGTGTTTCCTCCTCCCCAGAAGGGAGCACTGGAGGTGGGGAAGGAAAGTGGGAAACAGCGAGAGTGCTGAGCTGCCCAGCACCTCCTCTCATGAGAAGCAGCTTGGTAGGTCTGGGCCCTGCACCCTGAGCATACATTACTCAGAAAGGACGTGCTTGAGGCCCGTCTCATCCCAGGGGCTCAAAGAGAACGGATTGGACTGAGTGTCCAAGGGAGCACAGCTTGATGTGCAGTGGTAGGAAGCCATGTGAGAAGGTCCCACCTTGCGTAGAGCCTTGGGAGCAATGCACATCGCATCTCTGCTCAGAGCAGAGTGATGCAGGTAGAAGGTGGTTCTCTGGGCCGTGGGCAAGACTGTCCAAGGAATGGGGAGAGGCCACGTAGTCAGTGAATGAACGCCTTCTGAAGATGCTGCAGTCCCCCTGCTCTGAAAATAGTTGGGGGCCGTGGGAGTGTTGCAGAGGAGGAAGCTGATGCTTGCCTCATTTTTCATTTTCCCTCAGTGTTTGCCTGTGGCCAGTGGAGGAAACGGGACTGAGCAGATTTGGTATCCCAGTCAGTGTGCCTCTTCCTCCTATTCTCTCAGAATCACCCTCTGCTGTTATTTACTATCTGGAACCATGTGTGATGGGATCTTTCAAGCCAGCCTCCGTTCATCTGTACTGGGAGTCACTTGCAGAGCAGCTGCTGTGCTGCACATTTACATTTTCCCTCGCAATATATTTATTTCTGCGTCCACAAAGTATTAATAGCAGCCCACGGTGTGGTTGCGCATCTACAACAAAACCTTTTTTTTTTTGCTTTTGTCCTTCGGTGAAAATATTTGCTCCACGAGAAACATCCACTGTTGTCTCCTTTTCCTTGGGTTGGTCCACTGAAGGGAGTGGCAATGCAGAAAAATCTCTCCCTCTGATGGCTCAGGTGGCCGCATGAATTTTAGCTGCATTTGAGTTGTGCAGTCAGCAGCTGAGCAGCCAGTGCACATAGGCTGATTAAGTGGTTGGCTGCTTCCTCTTAGCATGACTAAGGGATTGGATTTTGCCCAATGATTTCAAACGCTTTTATTGGAGGGAAGGCATTTATTGCATCCTTGGGGACGTGAGGCAAAA